ATGTTAGGATGGGAGGGGCTGTGCCAGTGTGATGATGGTGGTAAAGCTATGCTGACGATAAGGGCTCACTAGAGCAGCACGTGCCTAGCTCAGGGCGGGCCTTGCACTCTGCCTGCATCACTGAACATCACCCTCACTCACCACAGCCGCAGTGTGGAGAAGCCCATCACCTCTCCTCAGCTCAGCACCATGGCAACCACACCCAAAGCCACAGCAGAATCCCAAGCCAAATCTGTCAGGTTCTAGGCTCTGCCTCCCAGAACACGATTAAAGACCAAGATGGAGAAGCCAACTACAGCCACAGCTCTTGTCCAGCAGACTCAAGGCCTGAGCTAGGTCCCCAGGAGTGGAAGAGAGAAACACACACAGACAGACAGATGGACAGACAAACAGAAGAAAGCAAGCAGGCTACTAAGCCAGGTGTGGACATACATCTGCAGCCTCAGCACCTGGCAAGTGGAGACAGGAGGATCAGCCTGAGCCACATAGTTAAGTTTGAGGACAGCCTGGGCTACTTATGACCCTATTACAAAAATTAAAAGAAAAAAATCCCTGAAGGAACAAGAAGTTAGAAAGGGAGAAAGCAAGGTGGCCGGTGGCACACCATAACCCCTGTTCGTGTGACAGCCGCCACCACCACCTGTTCCAAAGGTCCTGCCACCCCCATGGCCTGCTGGACTTTTCCAGCCGGGTACAACCAACCACCATCCGGCCACACCACGCACTGTGCATGCTGCTGCTGCTGCTGTCCTTGGCCCTGCTCGGTCCTCGGCCCACAGAAAACATAACCACAGACCCCTCCGCACCCGTCTCCACGGTGCAAACAGCACGGGGCACATGGGCAGTAGCTAGCGCTCTCTGATGAGTTCTTTGAGCCGCCCCAGATCTACTGGGTTAAGCTGCCCTGGCTTGAGGAGCCCTTGCGTGTTGAATGGGGGATCGTCCTTTAGTTACAGCCCCGGGTTGATCCCCCAGCAGGAGAAAAGAGCATGAGGTCCAGACTGCTCCCTCTGGGGTTTTGCAGTCACTGGGATGGAAGAGTCTGGAGGTGAGACACAGACTCTTTTAGTAACTAGTTACAATTTTGGAAGGCATTAGCCTTGAAAAAGGGAAGGAATCATAGTGGCTGGCTCTCTGCTGCCCCCTGGTGGTTATCTATGGCAGGCACAGCATGTGGCTCCTCCCTGCAATTTTTCCCACATTAAAGAATTGATGCTGAGGACCAAGAGCCTGGGGCAGCAGCTGTGTCTACAGGACAGCGCTGCTCCAATGAGGGCGCCAGATGAGAAAACAGTCGCGGTGAGGCATGTGTGACGGAAGCATGTGTTCATTCATTTACAGAGGGGCAGAGCCTAATGGCAGAATCCAGTCAGCCATACTAAAGGGAAACCAAGGAGTTCACTGTAGCTAGGGTAAAATTTGCCAGGACAAGACTAGGGTAAGAGGCGGAAGGAGAGGTGGGGAGGGACTCTATGGTACAGCCATTGGGGGTCGATGGATGTATGTGACATTTTTAGGAGTCAAGGGTCAGGGGTCAGCTCAGGTCAGTTTGTGGGGTCCGGGAAGAAAAACCCTCTGGAGGGCCAGACTTTGGGTCTGAGGATATGAATGGGGAGCTGCAGGGAGCTCTGGACAGAGGGGCAAGTGTGAGGTGGGACACCCACACTTCCTCTGGGGTGCTGCAGAATTAGTGGGTCATCGAGCTTTTAGGGTCCGCAGAGATGGCTCGGCACAGACTGCTTGCCGTGCAGTCAGCGCTGGAGGTCAGATCCAAGCTCACAGATATAAACCAGGCGACCGGCACGAGCCTAGAACCCCAACCCTGAGGAGCGTGGAGACGGGATTGCTGAATCTTGCTGCCTCCTACTGGAGAGGACTTGCCTCAGGGGTGCACTGGGGTGCCCTTCTGTGCTCCACATAGGTGGACACATACACACACACAGATGTGCACAGACCATGCATTCACATATACAAACATATACACAAGTAAAGAAATCTAAACTATGCATGTTAGGGCTGGAAAGGAACATGAGAACGTAGTCCATGCAGAAGCCAAATCCTTAGATGTCCTTGGTCCCTGGAAAATCAAGCCATGGGAAGGGGGCCTCAAATGATTATTCATCTCTGTGTACCAGATATCAACCCTTACCCTGGGAACACACAGCAAACAGAGGTAGGTGCACAGCCTATGGAAAAGGGGCACCCAATGAAAGGCAAAAAATATGACGTGGTGACACAGCCACCTGTGGGTACCACAGAAGGGGTGGGGGGCCGATGGGCATTGTTCCCCAAGAGGTCTGAGCGCCACTGGCCTTGGTCCCATGTGTCATAAGAGCTGGGCAGAGCAGCTCATACCCAGTGCTGTCCAGAACCTAGCTCAGTGGCCACCACAAGAAGCAGGACATAGCATATGCTGTTGTCATGGAAACTTTGGAAGCACTTAAGGTGAGAGGTTTTTTCCTTTTTTTAAAATTTATTTTGGGGACTAGAGAGGTGGCTTGGAGGTTAAGAACACTGGCTGTTCTTGCAGAGGACCCGGGTTCAATCCCCAGCACCCACATAGCAGCTCACAACTGTCTGTACCTCCAGTTCCAGGGGATCTGACACCCTCACATAGACATGCAGGCAGGCAAAACACCAATGTACATTAAATAAATGATTTTTTAAATATTAATTTTGTTGTTTGGTTGGTTTAGTTTTGGTTTTTGTTGTTGTTGTTTTGGTGTCCCCCCCCCCCCAGATAGAGTTTCTCTGTGTAGTTCTGGCTGTCCTGATTTGTAGACCAGGCTGGCCTTGAACTCACAAAGATCCACCTGCCCTTGCCTCCCAAGTGCTAGGATTAACCACTGCCTGGCTGGTTTAACTTTTTGAGATAAGGTCTCACTGTGTAGCCCTAGCTATCCTGAACTTGCTATGCAGAGTAGGCAGACCTCAAATTCACAAAGATCCACCTGCCTCATCCTCTCAAATGCTGGGACTAGAGGTGCAAAATGTGTGTGTGTGTGTGTGTGTGTGTGTGTGTGTGTGTGTGTGTCTTTGTTTCTGTGTGTCTGTGTAGATGGGCACCCATGCACATGTCTGTCTTTTGTGTATATATATATTTGTGTGTACATGCCTGTGTACATGTATGTGTGCACGCGTGCTCATGCGTGAGTACATGCTACATATCTGAAGGAACCTGCAGAGACAGAAGAGGGCATCAGATCCCCTGGAGCTGGTTTACAGACAGTTGTGAGCCACCATGCGGGAGCTCACCCTCAAACCCGGATCCTCTGAAAGAGCGTAAGTCCTCTTGACCCCTCAGCTCTCCCTCAAAGCATGGATGGGCATAGCTCACAATCCTAAGCGACAAGTGTGAGCAGAGGGTCATGGCCAGCATTTGACATAGCATAAGGGATACAGTCAGGATGCGACTCTGTGGTAGAGCGCTTGCCTGCAGGGTCAAGGCTCTGGGTCCAGTTGCCAGCACCACACACGTACAAATGGCGACGCTACAGATGCAAGGGGAACGAATCTGACATGTCTGTCTCCCCGTGTGCCTGCCAGGCTAGGTCCTGTGTCAGAAAACACGCTTCGGCTGTGTGCAGAATGTGCTCTACACGTATGGAGAGCTGTTAGAACACAGATGAGCAGGAAACATGTTTCCTGGGCACGAAGGTATTCCTGGGTTCACATGGTGATTTGGCGCAATTTGGAGGGAGGATACACGTAAACATGTTTGCACGCTCGTGTGGAGACCAGTTTTTTGTTTTGTTTTGTTTTGTTTAGATATTGTTTGAGACTGTGTCTCTCACTCAACTGGAACTCGTTGCATGGGCCAGGTGTGCCTCACTGGACCGACAAGCCTACGCCACCACAACTAGCTTTTTCTTAACATGGGTTTTTGAGATGAACTGGAAACCGGTTCTGTCTGGTTTACTGCCGGGTCCCCCACCCTGATGGCCTAGTAACAGTCACTCTGTAAATCGTAATTGCTGGTTTATGTGTTTTCTAACCACAGTAAGAATTAACAGCCGTCAGATTGTGCCAGACCTGCGGTCGACGGCGCCACCTTGTGGTGAGAACTGGAACGGCAGTGCTGGTCTTTGCAATAGTTTGCAGAGAGCCCAGGGGTGTAGGGAAGCTTCAGCGGCCTACTGTTAATACTCCACTAATAAACTCGGTGGGTTTTCATCCTTTTTCTTTTGAGACAGAGTCTCCGTATCCCACACTGGCTTCAAACTCTCTCTGTAACCAAAGATGGTCTTCTGGCTTCTGCCTCCCAAATGCCTGGGTTATAATCCTTTACCACCACACTCCATTAACAAGGTGCTGGGGATCAAACCCAGAGCTTTGTGTGTGCCCCGAAAACACTCTACCAACTAACTGAACTATACCCCCAGCCCCGCAACACAATTTTGAGCGACTAATTGGAACGACACAGGAAAAACAATGACAAATTCAGATTGCAAATTATTAATAAAACAAAGCCACAAATTTTTTCTTAGGAGAAAAAAATTTTTAAATAATATGTCTAAATAATCTTACCAGTGCTCTGGAAAAAATGAAGGGGGGGAGAAAAAGAGGAGGAGGAGGAAGGAAGGAAGGAAGGAATATAACGGTAGGCATGGAAGGATTGCCGTAGAAAATACAGTGAAATGAAAACTGCAGGTCCCTGGGGGCCGGGGCCTGGGCAGTTACAACCTTCTCTCTCTCATGAAGAATGCATAGTGTTTTTGCACAGAAATGAGCAGAACTACGACTTAGAACAAAAAGCCACTTCCCAGTGTATGAGGTTTGGAAGAGACCCTGATCTTCCAGGGTTCCCACATCAGGACCCTAATAACCCAGGACCCATAGTGAGCCATCCTCTAGGGTGGCAAGTCCCGCCTGCTTCCAAATCTCTGCTCGAGCTGGCTTTTCAGGGTCCACTCTCTGATGTGCCGACCTGCACAGGAAGCATGAAGGACCATGCCGACCAGCTGGGGATAGTCCTGACCTCCTGGACTGTTCATGCTTACCTGATGTGTGCACATTCCTGAGACAGGACAGGGAGGCGTTGAGCCGGGCACACTCCTCCCGGTTGGCTCCGTACTTCTCCACTGTCTCGCACACCTGCTCATCTGTCATTTCTAGAAGGTCCTCCAGGCTCAGCTGGTCAGGGGAGATCTCCTAGGGAAGGGGACAAAGGCAGTCAGCTGGACCTGGAACCCAAGTGCCTGGCCAGACAGAATGGCATTGTGTATCTCCATACCGCTCTCTTGTGGCACTCAGGAGAACTGCAGAGGGAAACAGCATGGCACCTCTCACACTGCCCTCTGCAGGTGCCCAATAAGAGGCACTGTATTATGTAAACACTTGGTTGGATTTGGGGTTTAGTCTCCCATGCACTTGGATGGGTAACTTAACCTCTCTAGGCTTTGCTCGTCACTTATAAAATGGAGGTGCTGAGTGCAGGTGCACACTCAGTATATGAGCAACAGTCCACACTTGCAGTCCAGCTTGTTGCAGCCTTCTGTGTGTAGATGGCCACTCTGTTCATCCAGGGTGGACTCAGAACAGGCCAGTTAAACACAAAACCTCCTCCCCTCTCAGCTTCCTTTCTGACGTATCCACAGGAGGATCGATGGGGGCTTTAAGAGACTAAGAGGAAGGCAGCCCAAGTCCCATGGGCGGCTGAGGTTGGAAATGAATCTTGACAGTTACTGAGCATGGTGAGGCTATGTGGCAAGACTGAGAAATGGTAGGAACCAGGGGGGAGGAGCTGTGTGAACAAGGGAGCTGAGGATGGGAGAAGCAGGATTTCCAGCTTGCAAGGTGTGGGACAGGGGGCCCCTGCCCTGCCCTGCCCTGCAAACAGCCCCCTCCCTAAACCAATCCTACATAAGTCTGCAACATTGCCAACGAGCTCCTCAAGTTCATCCAGAGTAACCGATAGTAGTGAAGGGTTTTACATGAACACAGTGTGTTATTATTTAGATTTGTAAATCTGCGGACAGTGATTCATGGGTGATAAGAGTGGGCTCCTTCTGTCCTCTCCTGGCCATGACTATGTACTGCAACAACATACAGAGTCAGATAAAGCAAAATCCATAAATCCCATTTTTCACACACACACAAAGAGCTACAGTGTAAGAGCCAGAGCCCAGACAGCGACTGTGAAGTCAGGGCAGGGATGGGATAAAAACTGAGTCACCTAGGCAGGAACATGGAGCAGGTAAACCTCCTTCGGCGGGACGAGGCAGGGTTGGGGCTGCAGGCTGAACATTCAGAGAACAATGCTATTCTAGGTTGACCCCAGCTGCCCTGATAAAACACTCTGACCAATAGCAACTTAGGAGGAAAGATTTACTTGGCTTACACTTCCAGGCTATAGTTCATCACTGAAGACAATCAGGACACGACAGGAACCTGGTGCAGACTTGGAAGAGCACCGTGTGCTGCCTCTTTACACAGCCCAGGCTGGTCTGCCTAGGGATGGCACCACCCACAGTGGGCTGGGCCCTCCCGTATCAGTTAGCAATCAGACATCTCTCCCAGATGGGGCCACGGGCTGTCCTAAATAAGATGATTATTCAGTGCTGACTTTTCAGGTCGTTTTGAGTTGTGTGACGTTGACAGCTGGTGATAACACAGATGCACAAGCTAAAGCCCTCTCCTTGCTGTGGGACTGTACATTTTAACCCTATGATTTAGAAGGGGTGTGTGCATGCGTGTGTGTGTCTGTGTGTGTGCACGTGTGTATGTGTGTCTCTGTGTGTGTGTCTGTGTGTGTTACCCTGATGCTTAGGCTCATAAGGGAGCACACACACATCTATTCATGACAAGATGAAGAAGGTCAGAGCAGCCTGGGCCAGAGAGAGAGAGAGCTTGTGTATGTTCTGGTGACATAATCCCAGGTGGGGTCGTATTGACAGTACTCAACACGGATTTCCTGTAATGCCACAAAGATCATGTGAAAGGGAAGGTGTGTGTGTGTACATGAACGTGTGTGTGTGGTGTGTGCACACGTATGCACAGGGTGTGTGTGTATATATACTGTATGTGTGTATGTGAGTATATGTGTGCGCGCAGATGTATCTGCATGTGTACATGTGTGCCTTTGAGTGTGAACGGAGGTCCAGAGGTGTGCGTGAATAAGTGTGGATGTGTATTGTGAATGTGTGTGTGTGATATGTGTGTACATAAATGCGTACACACTGATGTGTATGTGTGTGCGATATGTATGTGAGTGTATGTGTTCATCTGTGCATGTATGTGTGTCTGTGTGTGTGTTTGTTTTACCAGGGAAGCTGGACTTCGATTTTCACACATGCCAGGCAAGGTCTCTACCATTGCACTGTGTCATCAGCAAACATGATTTGTTACCGCCACCTGCAGACCCAGATGCTAAAGCACAGATAAGTTAAACCTTTAGCCCAAGTCACACAGCAAGAGCGTGGTGGAGGCAACATTTGAACACAGGGCATGTCTCATAGCTGGCTCCCTATATCCCTTTTACTTCGTGAGAGCAGCCCCTGGTGGACAAGCCTGTGAACTGCAGGCAGGGAGGCCTCACTCCTCACCCCGCCTAGGAATGCCTCTCTAGTGGACTAAGAGCCCCAAAGAGGTGATCTGGTGGAATCTCAGGGACCAAAGGGGCTGCCAACTGTGGTTCATCACGTCGGGAAAGGATTACCCTCTGTATAATTAGTGCTCGTGGCTTTGAAGCAAGAGATCTCTAGTCTTTGGAAAACAGGTTTTAAGTTGTTGGGCCAAAATAAGATAAGATCACATCTTGTCAAACTAAGACTGGCTGCCCATGCGACACGGTTTGAAAACCACCCTTTTCAGCCCTTATCTAAAAGACTGACTTTGCTTTACCTGCCCCATGAGGGGTGCTAGGTACACAAATATTTATATAATCCCGGAGCCTTTAAGAAGTACCGCAAGCTGTGCAATTAAACTATCATTTATATCATCATACTTAGTTTAAATTGTCACTCGGACACAATCTAGGGTCACTAGGAGGAGAGTCTCAAGGAGGGAGTTTCTACATCAAGTTGACCTGTGAACAGGGCTACATTGGACTGTCCCGGTAAGGTTAGTTAAGGTGAGAAGGCCCATCCACTATGGGCGGCACCACTCCCTAGGCGTAAGGTTGCAGACTATGGAAAAGAAGAGAGCAAGGTGAGTGCTAGCCAGCGTGCATTCATTCTCTCTCTACTCTTGACAATGGGCATGACTGATCGCCTCAACTCTGACGCCCTGCAGTGCTGGGCTGTGGCCTGGAGTTGTGAGCCAATCAATCAGTCCTCCCCTCAAAAAAAGAAAAGTTGCTTTCATCACAATAATTGGAAAGAAAGCTAAAATGTGGCCTTCCATCCATGCTAAGAATATTGTAAGAAACACACTGCCCTAGGGATTCTGGGCATCCTGGAAGCGAAACTAGGGGTGCAAAAATCCATGCATGCTGGTGTGTGTGTGTGTGTGTGTGTGTGTGTGTGTGTGTGTGTGTGTGCCCCAGAGATCCACCTGTTTCTGCCTCTGCAGCGCTGGCATTACCAGTACATGTCTTCATATGCAGCTTTTGCACGTGGGTTCTGAGGACTCGACTCAGGCCCCGTGTTTGCACGGCAGGCGCTTCACCCACTGAACGACCCTCCCGCCTCATGACCCACATGGAAAGGCTGGTGTCCTGAATCTCTACAATCCAATATGGCAGCAATGGCCATACATACATCAAATACAATTCAAAATCTGGATCCTTGGTCCCCCACACTAATCCTAGCACTCCAGGAGCTGTAGTTACCATGGCTGCTCTATCAGACACCACAAACAAAATACCCCCACCACAGCAAAAAGTCAGTGGGCAGCACTGGTCAACATGGTGGCTTAGGGTGACTCCATTTCATGGCAGATCTGAATAAAATCCTGACTCTAGGTCACCCCCACACCCCCAACTACAAATGCTGGCTTGAGAGCCTTGCCCTCAACAGTCCCACTCAGAGACTTCTGAGATCCTGCAAGCCTTCGTCTGGCATACTGGGGGCCTGCTATGTGCCTGGGTCTGTGCTGGGCATATCCCACGCCCTGCCATCTAGGAAGTAGCAAAGGTGGTCTCCAGCCAGTGAGGGCCAAGGGGTTCGGGACAGCTTGTGGTCACCTCCAGGACTTCCTTGCGCACGTCCACGATCCGGAACCAGTGGCGGAGCTGGGGGAAGCCGTCCAGTTCGGCATTGCGCTCCTGCAGGGCCACCTTCTTCTTGCAGGACAGCTGCCGGCTGAAGTACTTGACCAGCTTGCTCTGCAGAGACATAGAGACAAGGACACGGCTCAGCGACTCTGCCACAGGGAGCAGGCATGAGAAGCCAGGCTATCACGCACCCAGCCAATCCTGTGCTCCAAGGACTGTTTCTGTCCCAGTGAGACCCAACCTTGCACCTTGGTCTACAGTGGAACAAGACTGACTAAGACATGCAGGCACCACCCTTAGATGGGTTTACTGTAGTTCTCTTGGAAGCACTTGGTTAAGGGGCTAGACCCCTTGTGCATGGTCCCCTCTGCAAGCAGCCAGCTCTCCTCCTTCCCCACCATGTTACAGAGCAATAGGAGGTCTGGACCTTCCAGGTGCCGGAATCATAAGCCAAATAGACTTATTTTCTTTATAAAGTACCCAGCTACTGACGCCTTGCTCCAGCAACACAGAGTGAACTGTATGCCTCCTGCATTCTCACCGTGTTGGTGAAGATGGGAGAACAGATAGGCCTTGGTATTTTGCTGTGGTGGTGGTGGTGGGGTTACCTCTTCTTTGTGGTGGTCTCCACCGACATTGTAATCACATAGACCCTTGACCCAACAATTCCATATCTAGAAACTCTTTTTTTGTTTGTTTGTTTTTTTGCGGGTTTTTTTTTTTTGTTTTGTTTTGTTTTGTTTTTCGAGACAGGGTTTCTCTGTGTAATAGCCCTAGCTGTCCTGGAATTAGCTCTTGTAGACCAGGCTGGCCTCAAACTCACAGAGATCCGCCTGCCTCTGCCTCCTGAGGGCTGGGATTAAAGGCGTGCGCCACCACCGCCCAGCCTAGAAACTCATTTTATAGCAACCGTGTTGGGAAAGTAACTGTGTCCAAGGATTTTTTTTTAACACTTCTGCTTACAAGAGCAAAGGGTTGTCAACACCCTGAGAATCCACCTATCAGAAACTCATGATTTACGCTACGCAGCAGCCACAAAAGGAACTCTACACCCCAGCTCCTTAAGCTGCGAGTCCGTACATAACTAAACGCAGGGTCCGGGAAGTTTGGGGGACAGCAAAGATCTCTGAGTGTGCAATAACCAAAAACTAACTCCAGATCAATCAAACACATAAGACTCTGAGGTGCCCCCGGCAACGCTCGTGCTTGTCACCTCTGGTGACGTCACTGTTGGTTCCGAACACACAAATGCACTGTCCTCCGAGTGCTGTCACACCACCCAATAGCAGTGACCCCTGCGGCAGCACCTCGGCTCCCACCGACACCCCTGTGGGTCGGTAACGGCAGCGGTGTTCTGCTCTCAGAGACGCATCAAGGCTCCATTGCAGAAAACAGAGACTCGCAGTGTTTCCCTCTCATTCCTCTCAATGTGTAAGTGTCAAACTGTTGTAGGTGTGGCCCACATTGTGTTAGAAGGCTAGATAAAAACAAAAATAAAAAAAAAAGTTGACTTGGGTTTTATTTTTTAAAATCATGAAATAAATTCTGTCTTAGGACTAGGACCAAATTTCCAATGATTCCTGAGGTGTGGCTCGACACATTTCCACCATGTTGTACTCTGTTCTTATGCAAAGCAGCGCCCTCGGGCTGACGATTCTAAGCTCAAACCATCAATGGGCATTAAGAAACGGTCAGACGTCCTGCACACTGCAGTGTCGAATACTGTCAAGGTTTAGTTGTTTACATAAAAATAAGTAAGCACACCCATCTCATTCATACAATTGCTTCTCTCCTATTTAACACATGGTGATATCATCTCTCTATATATGTAATCACTCTGAAATAAACTTCATTATGGTTTACCATCGGTAATATTAGCGTAGTTACACCTGCACAGACCCCGTTACATAACCATCTCTGGTGAGAAGAGGCTGTAGGCTGAGAAGGTCCTAGAAGCCCTGTTCACACCGCCATCACATAACATCCAGAAGCCCTGTTCACACCCCATCACATAACATCCAGAAGCCCTGTTCACACCCCCATCAAATAACACCCAGAAGCCCTGTTCACACCCCCATCAAATAACACCCAGAAGCCCTGTTCACACCCCCATCAAATAACATCCAGAAGCCCTGTTCACACCCCCATCAAATAACATCCAGAAGCCCTGTTCACACCGCTGCCAGATAAAAATGACAAGCTGTGCACTGCTGAGCAGACGGTGACTTTGGAGATGTCCTGACAAACAGGATCTCTCACTCCCCGGCCAAATGTGTCCATGTATTTCTTTGTAAACACACAGCCTCTTTCTGGAAGGATCCTTGACCCTCTGGGGATGAGGAGAATGGAGTAGGAAAAAGAGTGGGGAGAAAGGACATTTACACTCTGTTGTTGGATTGGCAAGTCACACACAAGTCTCCGTGAGCTCTCCAATGCTTTTTTAAAGGAGACCTGACCCACGTTCCTGGACAGATGCCAGGACGCGCGAAAGGAACAGTGCTTTGTTTTGTTCGTGGCTAGTTCTGTACAAATGAACAACACTAACCAAAGAAAGGCAATACAAGGGACCGGAACAATGGCTGAGCACTTAAGAGGGGGTATTGCTCTTTTGGAGAACCTGGGTTTGGTGTCCAGCACCCACATAGCAGCTCACCACCATCTGTAACTCCAGTTGCAGGGGATTTGACACGTTTTTCTGGTGCACATGCATACACACAGACAAACACTCATAAACAAAAGCCAGGCATCATCTAGAAGGAAAGAGAGAGAAGTGTTTCGCTGGAACAGCTCACCCCTTGAAAGCCCCATTCCTGCCTCTCCAAACCCCACCCTCTCAGAAAAACCACCAAAAAGTCAACTTCCACACCCCTGACTGAAGCTGCCAGCTGTCCAGTCCCCTCCTAAAGCATCATGACTGGACACAAACCCAGCTCGTGGCAGAGGCGGCATCTCCCTGTGCCTACAGGGTAGTTAAGCTCCTTTAGTTTGATCATGTGATTTTTTTTTCTGTGCCTTCTCCCTCCTCAATCTTTGGGGGCTGCAGGAGTTACTTTGCTCAGACTAAACCTGGTCTTTTACTTTTTAATTCAACTTGATCTGGCTTACTGTATCAGTGGAGAAACCTATTATTGGGGAACAGAAATCTTATTAGGAAGTAGGGAGGGGGAAAGAAAAGAAGGAAAGTGGGGTGCAATCCCATAATGCCAAGCAGAGGAAGTATATGAGAGAGTAAGACTGAGTTTCTCAGGAGGGTACCCAACAGCACCAAACAACAAGATGTAGGTCTGTTTCTTCAAACACAGTGTTTGCGTCTTTTCAATAATTAAATAAACCTCTATAAGAGATGTTTTAAAAAATGAGAGCCAGCAAGGTAGCCCAGCAAACAAAGGTGCTTGCCACTAAGCCTGATGACCTGAACTCAACCCCCAGTGGACCCATATAGTGGAAGGAGAGAACTGACTCCCTTGGGTTGCTCTCTGACCTCCATATGTTACATGCCATGTATGCATGCGTGCACATACACATACACGCAAAATAAATAAAATGACTAGGGCTTGGACTTGCATACATGACCTAGGGGAAGTCACAATTCAAACTTTTTCTTAGTTGAGGTTTCTAATGCTGTGAAGAGACACCATGACTACAGCAACTCTTTTCTTTTTGGTTTTTCGAGACAGGGTTTCTCTGTGGCTTTGGAGCCTGTCCTGGAACTAGCTTTGTAGACCAGGCTGGTCTCAAACTCACAGAGATCCGCCTGCCTCTGCCTCCCGAGTGCTGGGATTAAAGGTGTGCGCCACCACCGCCCGGCTACAGCAACTCTTATAAAAAATTTATTTGGGTGCCTAACAGTTCAGAGATTTAATCCATTATCATATGTGGGACACGGTGGCATGCAGGCAAGGACAAGGTGCTGGAGAGGTAGCTGAGAGTCCTCCAACCTGCACAGGCGACAGGAAGTGGACTGAGACACTGAGTGTGGCTTGAGCCTATATGAAACCTCAAAGCCCACCTCCGCAGTAACCCACTTCCAACAAGGCCACACCTACCGCTCCCTAGGAGCTTATGGAAGCCAATTATATTCAAATCACCACAAACCCCAACAGTGACAGCTGGAGACACCAAGCCAGACTGACTGAGCGACCACCATCATTTGGAGACACCAGCTAGGTTTCCCAGTCTTGCTAAGCTTTCCCAGTGTAGTGCTGGGCCAGGGTTGGTGAGGAGCCAAGCAGTTTTCAAGAGGAACCACCACATGGGTAAAATTCTCACCAAGTTTTACTGCAAGACCGCAAGTGTTTGAGCAAGATTTCACCAGCTGTATTGCACCTTAAAGGTGCTATGTGCAAGGCAGGGCTGGGCAGGGTGTGGCTCTGAGCAGTAGGCGCTTGCTCTTGCCTTTAATCTCTGACTTGTAGGTGTGTTGTTAATTTTAGACTTTCAGAAGCAGAGGAGAGAGGCATCACTGCAGCCAGAGTAAGCAATCAGTCCACGTCAAATGTCCAGAGGGAAGGTGACAAAGAGGACATCGGCGTGGCTCGCTCAACTCGGGAACAGATTTGTGTTTTGTTTTGCTTCATATAAATGAATTTGGTTGAAATCGAAAAACTGAAACAGTATAAATTGTTTTCTGTGACACACAATCATATCAGTCGAGGAGAAATCTACTAAACAGAGCCCGAGGGTAGCGGGGGACGCCTCTTGTTCCTTCCACTCAGGAGGCTGAGGCAGGAGGATTGTTAGACGCCAGGCATTTGAAACCAGCCTGGGATTTATAGTGAGACTCCTTGTTTCAAAGAAACAAGACCACAGATGGGTCAGAGGGTGTTGGTCATGCTGCCCAGCATGTGAAAGAAAGGTCTTTGGGCTGACTGCTGGCACCATAAAAACCAATCCGTCCGTCGATCAGCTAAACTAGGGAAAGCTAGCTTGCAGTGTTCTGTGAGTCTAAAACGCATCGCTAGTACTTAAGGGGGAACTGAAGTGAGCCGCTAATATATTATACTGAGCACTTGGTGGGGGGTGAGGGGGTTGGGGAGGACGGTTGGGAGGGGATTATCAAGACAGGGTCTCTCTACATAACCCTAGCCTGTCCTAGAACTTACTATGTGGAC